CTCCTAGTACCAGTGGCCAGGAGCTACTAGTAGCTTCATTGCTCCTATAGTAGCGATGCCATTTGTTCCTAGTAAAACACCGAACTAGCTTTCGGTTCGGTCGAGTTCCACGGAGGCTTCGATCATCGAAGATGGTGAAGATCACCCTGCAGCCCACTGAGGCCCGAGCGGAGAAGTGTCCGATAAGTGAAGGACCAAAACCACCATGCATTTCAGAATGGTTGGACAAGAAAAGGGTGGAAGAAGGTGTATCACATGTGGAATTGGGTAGGACCAACTCTCAGAAATCCTCCAAACTCGCAGGTCCTGGTGCTGTCTGTCGGTGCCTGAAGCCTCTCCGGCCGCGGACGGACTGGCGTCGTAGCCAAGCGGCCTCGGACTGGCGGCGCCTGGAGCGGCCAAGCGCCGGGAGTTTGAAGCGTTCCCGCGTTCCCGGCGGCCGCGGACAGGCCGACGGCCGCGGACAGGCAGAGCTCTTTGGGCCTTTCAGAAGTCCTTGGAAGGGTCCCCAATTCATCCGTTACGCCATGCTTTTTACTTGGAGGGAGGTTGTGACTGAAAGGTGGAGGATATGACGACCAAAACAATTTGATATTTTTATATTTTTTTTGGGGGGGAGATGACTGCAGGGGTCAGGGGTCTAAGTATATATTGTATATATGTTTCTTTGGGTTATTTCTGGAGTGTTGTGGATCTTTGGATACCAAATCAAGCTTGATTGGTACATCATGTGGACTGTTGGTTTATAAACTTCCGAGATTGTCGACCATCAAGGTCATTTTTGCTGGAGGGTTTTATTGATTTGTCAACCTGATGAAGATTGGACCTCGAGATGAAGAGAGTTTCGTTGGCTGTTGTGTTAAACTCTTGCATTCTTTTTGGAGAGAGGCCTGTAGTTTAACACCCATCAAATATACCGGCCTGACCCAGGTCCAGTCACCTGGTCCTGAAAACCATTGAACACCTCAGCAGGAGTCACCTCCAGTTTCCATTAAAAAGAGGTTCGTTCCTGACCTGGTCAGGGCGAAAGTTCGTTTGTCCCTATGAATCCGCAGAGCCACCGTACCTCAGGTTCGGTATGGGCCCGACCCAGGCGCCTGCAGTCTCCCTACTCACCTTCTCAGGGTGTGTTCGTTTCAAAGTTAGTACCAGAGCTCTGCCTCACAGCGACGGGGACTCGCCGGAGACGTGAGCGACCGGTCTATGAAAGATGATGTCGATGTATACGTATTAAAATTTGTATTTACATCATTTTACATATATGACTATTAATCATTACATACAGTCTCATAGTTGTATATATGTAACTCTTCTGTAACTCTTCTATACATAGGGATGGTTTTGCCAGTGCTTGGAGGATGCGCCGAACATTGTACAGCGGGCAGTGACGCAAAAAGGACGATTCACGACGGAAACGACACAGTTCCGAGGGGTGGGGCCGGCCGTGTCCGTGTGTGGCGTATCTCCATTGGCGAAGTCATGTTTATCTCGGGCAGTTTCCGAAAGTCGCTGCCAGGTTTGCCACATGTTTTCACGTGTGAAAACATCCAGTCACATCCAGTCTTCAACTTTAGGCCATTCTTTCATGATGAATCTCCCCTCAACTAGTAGGATGTGTTTCAGGAAGGAAGGAAGGCTGTCTCAGAGATGTCCAATGTTGGTCTGAGCTGGGTCACTTTTTGGGTGGAGAAAGATGCTTCTCGGGCCCCAGTTCCGAGAAGCACGCATTGCCCAGCCAGTTGGTTTGCACGATGTGGTTCGAACAATTAGCAATAAGCTTCTACCCAGGAGGGATTGCCAACGTGAATAAAAACCCGGAACACCACCTGAGCATACCTCGGGTGGTGGTGCATCATTGAAGCACAAGTTTGGAACCGGTTCAGCTTGGTATTTGGATCTATAGTCCGGTCGTTCGGATAGATCTCGTTTCCAGATCACATTGTTTTTCTGGGAACAGACCTGGCTGAAGGTCAAGACCTGGAGCTGTAAGCCCTGGTAGGTTGACCGAGGAGACCTCTGCTTTCGAGGGTCTCCTCGGGTGAGGGATTGAGATACTGAGATACCCGGCTTCTTCCCTTGGCTCTTCCGGTCCGTACCTTTCCACGCGGATGGGGTGGTCCTTTGATCGTCTTGGTGCAGTGGACACTTTGATCGTCTTGGACCATGCTGTTTAGGTCGGCATGTATCCCAAGCGTGTTGTGGGAAACCTTGTCATGTGTTACCGGCCGGCAAGTGGGTAAGAATCGCTATCCCTAGACAGTCGACAGTCCCCTCTTAAAGTTGTACCCAAATTGGGATCTGCTTTGGTAATCTTGTCAGGAACTGTTGCAGACCAAAAAACTTTGTAGTAGCAACTAATTAGTTTTCAAGGACTGATTGAAGGCCATTTGCACTCTTTTCGTCCATCTGTAGTTCAAGCAGGTCGTCCTCTTTTTGATAAATAGTTGTGGGATTAATATGGATTAATCCCTAGGCCTCCAGTCGTACCGAACCTGAGAAGGTGGGACTGGCGTGGGTGCCGGGAGGGTCCAAATACCTTCTGAGGAGGTACGACTGGAGGTTTAGGGAATGAGACCAATTGTGAGTTGTTGAACATGGGATGTCTTTGGCACAGGTCCTGGGTGTGTTGCTTCCCCTTTCTTCAGGTGGCAGGCTTCCAATCGAAGTTTGACGATCAAAGGACACCCAAGACTGCAGGTGTCCACTGCAAGACTGCAGGGTTGACCTACCAGGGAGCTCGCTCGTTCGCGGTCAACAGTGGACCGGCCGGGCCTCATCGGTCTGGACACATCCCTACACCGACTTCGTCGTACCGAACTCACCTCAGCGGTCCCGACGTAGAATGGCCCCCGGGCCCGCGGGCGTCCCACCGAACCGGTTCGCGGTTCGCTACGACAACGGAGGCCGATAGGGCATTTTTCACCACCCGTCCAACCGGCCTGGCCGACTCGCCAGGCCGACTCGCGACAGTCACTGCGACTCGCGGGGCGGCCTGGGGAGTGAGCGGGGGGGAAGCCGCCGAGGGAAGCCAACGTGACGACAGAGGTCCTAGAGGTGCAGGTCTCCTGGTCCCTGTCAAACCTCAGGAGTGATGGATGTGGTTTTGTATGATTGGAGTCAGGTTTTCTTCCCGACCGGGAGGGAGAAGGCAGAAAAAATCTATGCCAGAATTGGCATCTCTTTAACAGTTTGCACTTTTCAAGGCTGACAATGGATTCTCATATTGGAGGAGCGTCCTCTAAAAGACACATCTATTGACCCAAGGTGAGAAGCAGGGACATACCTCACATTGGGGATTGCAGTCAGTGTTGGGGATACTTCGAGCTACGTGCGATGGGTAAGAGCGGATCACTTCCTCTGACAGGCAGAGAAATGTGTCAGAAACCAAGCCTTGTTCTAGGATCTCAAAATGACAGCAGGACTACCAATCAGAAGATGCACCACATCTAAGAAGCATCTTGATCAGCATGGTCCAACTGACAAGGTTCCCGATTTGCTCATTGTGAGGTTCAACTTCAGTTGTCCGTACATTCAGTGCATCAGAAATCATAGAACATCCTTCCTAGCTGATGACCCGTTCTTTCCTAACTAACCTCTCTCCCACCTGAAAAAACTCCCCCAAACGCTGTCAGCCTCGAACGCTGTCGCCCCTTCCCCCGAGGTCGGCCCGAGCGCAGCAGCTTCACGCGCCGTCCGTCGGGCGGGCCGCCGGGCACGTGGAAGAACACGGACGGCGGGCCGCGAGTGACCGCCGATCTGGGCTTGGAACTCGCGGGAGGCGCGGGCGGCGCGTTTCCACTGACTGGGGGTGAAGGGAGTTGAGGGGCTGGATCGGTGGTGAGGCAGATGTCGGCAGAGGATGGAGCCAGGCGGTTCGGTTTCAGTGTGATCAGATGATGTTTCATCATGTTTTGCAGGACTGCATGCTATACAAATGATTCATCCTGCGCCAGTGACCCTATCCCCAGGTGTGTCGATGCGAGGGTTAGATTTTGGGGGCTTTGGAATTCAATTCCTGTCGATGAGTAGAATGAGTAGAACACGAATGATATGGAGATCTATTCCAGCACCCAGCTCAGGTGGTGACCATCGACCCCCCCCCCACCTATTACCTACCATGTGTTTTTTGCATCCAAGAGACCAGAGGATGGAGGATCATCTGCTCCACTCCAAAACAACAGATAGCTCGCGCTCAGTCACGCTCGGCTGTTTTCACACAGACCCGTCGATTTCTTGCAACCTGGGATGGAGATGCCAGCGGTGATGGAGATGAGCTGGGTCTGTCCTAGGCAACCTGTAACAGTTTGTCTAGAGAAAGGCCTTTACTGACCATCATCATCCGCTATTAACTACTGGTAATGAGATACACCCACGAGATGAGCCCTTAAAGTCTTTTCAGCCAACAGCTTCAGGGGGTAGTAAGAAGGGTTTTCTCTTCTCAAGTGGCCAAAAGAGTCTTTGGTGGACCCAGAACCAGATCTGGACACCTTCAGTCAGGGTCCATGGGATCGTCGTTCCAAAACAGTCCTTTCCTTGGGTAACAGCTAGCCACTCAATCATCCGTGCCGCTCAGTGCCACTCCTAATTTTGGCTGGCTTCGTAGAAGATCCAGCACAAAAAATGTAGGATCTTGATGAATAACCCCCCCCAAAGCCTTTTCATATGGGGGTTGATTCCCTAGGGCTCCTGGCCCACCTCCTGAGGTTCGATGGTTGGGGTGGGGGGGTGGTTTTGGGGGGTCAGTCCCCATCGAACCTGAGGATGATGGGCCGTTTGGAGGATTAGGGATAAATCAAGATCCTACATTAGAGCCGGCTCGACAGGTTTGGAAGATTGGCTGGTGGGCCCCGTCCGCGAGCTCAATGCGAGTCGATCTCACTAAAAAGAGATGTGTGTATCAAAGGAAGACGGATTCGGGCAACGAGCCCCTGGAAGAAGGGACTGACATACACCAAAAACCGACCCCAAACCGGCCACGGAGTCTCCTTTTTTTTCAAGATATCACACCCAAATCACACCGAAGACAAAGGCCGGCCGGGCCTAGAGCTCTCTTTGTTGGTATACTACACACGAGTTCTGTGAACTGGAGGGATTCTGCAGAAGAAGTGTTTTCCCCTGGGAGTCAAAGACTATATAAAAAGAATGGTCTGACTAGGGGACCTGATTTCGGGAACTTCCTTTACTTCAGCCGGTCAAAATATAGTCGAACTGGACTTCTAGGGTTTCTGTTGAGCGCTTCGTCTCCGCTCCCTTGGACGGCCTACATTGGATCCTTTTGGGCACACAGGGCAGGCACCGATGGCAGCCTTCAGCAGCTTCATCCTGAAGAACGAGTAACGAGCCAAGCAATGAAGTCAGGTGTCCCCTGATTCGCGCGCAAAAGCTCAGGAGTTGTTGGTCTCTGATTTTAGTAGAACTCAAACAACTTGGATCCCTTGTAAAGAGTCCAGATATGTCCAGATACCAAGAGTCACGCGGAGTATATAGTGAGTGGATGTGACAGGGGCAT